AAATTCACGGCTACAATAAAGAATGAATACGTCAATCAGGACACTATCTAAAACATCTCAATGGGGAACAATTTGCCCTTTCTTGGAGTTTTGAACACTGAAGTCGAGGTTGTAATTCACTCATTCATTCCAGTCTGACTGTATAAAGGATGGCGGCAAATAGGACAGCTGCGACTGCAAATTAAAAGGAAATATTCAGGTGAACTCGAGAAAAACTGGTGTGGGAATGTCGCAATAAATTCTGGCCTACTTAACGTACAAAGTCTTTCAAAGTTTACCGATGAAGTAATATCGCTTTAGATACAAGAGAACTCCGTGACAACATGCATAGAGCGTCTTGAAACCAAAATTGAAATAATCTCAGGACCTGACAAAAGCTTAGGGGACAAAGAAGGATAATGAGGGCGTTAACCGGATTTTGTCGATTTCACCAGACTTATCCCCAGCTGTAGGCGGGAACGGTGGTCGGTTTCTCCGGACTTCCGTACTGCTGATTCTTCACGTAGTTTCCAATCTTTTCTGAAGTTATTTTAATTGCGAAACCAATCGCTGTTTGTCAACAAATCACTCCTGCCCACTGGCGACCAAAGCTCCTTACGAGGGTACGGAGGTTTTTTTATTATGAATGCAAATGAAAACTGCTCAGTGCACTCTCATAGCTGGAGTAGGTCCACACACACCCAATCCAGAATTAAATACCAACACATAGTCAGTGCAGTAGTGGAGTGTTCTTCCATATTTAAGTTTATTCCCAAAAACAGATATAGTGATATTTAAGCATACTTACACGCCGTTCTGTATCATAGCAATAGCACATTCGCGGTGAACCTTGTGTGAGCATGGCAGGATCTGACAACCGCTAAAAGCATCCTGGAAATAAAGAATCGATCAACCAAATAAAAATATAGAAATTTGGATTGTGATCTGCTTCTCTTTCGTCAGATTTCGACTCCAGAAATGCAAGCACCTGACGTCACTAACGCAGCAAGTGAATAAAACCAAACTTAGTGCAAAGTTAACTGCTTCGGCTAAACGGCAAAACCTTTTAAAAGATATTTCTTATTCAGCCTTATTATGTATATTAAGTAACTACCTCTAAACAGATGCAACACTCGTCGTGTCCTGAATTTGCTCGGCAAGAATGTCTTCCTTCCAGCCGTTTGTCCAGACAGACGTTACACACATCACAGTGGAAGGAGCGGTCCTTGTAGATACTGAACGGGAAATAGAAACATCACTTCGCAGGTATTTACTCGAGCACAACATGATTCGTTAGGGAAACAAATTTCGAACTCACGCTGATAAGCACCGTACTTCTACTCGATAAGCTGCAATAATAATTGAGGAGGAAACTTGTATTTTGTCGGACTCTTGTTCCTTTTTGAGAAACAACTAGCAATGGGGTGTTTTATGCACTCCTCGATAAAGCATTTCTCTCTCCTTGAATACTTTGCTCTCGCCTTACAGATTGTGCCAGGATTCTTCGTACCTACTGCAACCCAAGTCAATAGCTCTGAAGCAGGTCAATAACTCCCTAACCTTCATTCTTTTGGACAACGAGCATATCATTCAAACAAACGAAGACAAAACTCGTCATGAATTTTGTTTCACCTACCGGCAGATACCACATTTTTCGCAGTGATAAGGAGCTTTATCCTCCCCTGTGAAGTGTTTACACACCGAGCAGAAATATGCTGAGAACCTTGTTTTGCATCTGACACAGGTGTGGGCGTCCTGGTTGATCTTAAAAATCAAACATTCGAAGTTAAATCGGTTATAACCTGAGTGGGAGAACTCTCTTTCCTCTTATGAAAAATTTCAAGTCAATGTCATTCCTATTTACCTCTTGTTGATGGCTACAAACAGAGCACTCAACAGAGCACGCCTCTCTTGCTTTGGAATTATCATTTGGACACCCAGAGTTGTTATGACAACGATGACAAGGAAAGAACTTTCCGCAGCATGAGAACTTGACACGGCAGAGCCGCTGATAATGTTCACACAGCCATTGTCGAACCCCAGCACTTGCCGAGTCTTGCAAAGGTGTTTCTTGTCCACCGCTCGTGGAGTTCCCCTCTACTCTTTCATTCCTGAGTTCCGTTTCTCTCGCTTCCCTCGCTTCCCTCGCTTCCCTCGCTTCCCTTTCTTTTCTTTCACGTGCAAGTTGTTGTTTCCTTGCCCGCTTATCTTTTCTTTTTTGCTCCGTTTCTTTCATCGATTTCTCTCTTTCTTGTCTTGCTTTCAACGTTTTCTCGACAAGACAGCAAGCTTCAGCCACACGTTGCTCGAGTACGGCCAATGATTCGTCAGCAGATGTGTTTGAATTACTGTTTAACAGACCATGACCAGCTCCTGCACTTTCCCCGTCCGGAAGAAATCCCGGAGCGTCATCTTTTCTTTCAAACTGCGATGAGA